CATCGGATCACATACATAACAGAAGCTATGTCCTCAACATAAAAAGTTATAGATAGCGAACGATTTTGTTGAATTTACTTTTGTTTATTTCTAGCTCAAGATTTATATTCAATAGAATAAGAAATGTAATATTTATATATAAAAATAAATTTTTTTAATGAACTAGTTAATTTTAAAGAAATACTATCTCCTCGACAAACGCAGTTACAAAATCTAGATGTCTTTAATTAGAACATACTTGGTATTGATTTAAAATAAATGCAAATTTATTCATATTTACCTTTACATACATGACACACTTTTAAACATTACTCAATAAAGTGCGAAAAAGTGCAGCTAAAATTTTGCATGTTAATTTTCTATACTATTAGTGAGGTTTTGATACAAAAATTAGGGTGGAACTACCCAGCTAGCACACATACATTGGGCCAACGTATGTAAAACCATCGCGAACGTCGGCTCTTTTTTCCAATGCAAAACCAACGTTGATCCAATTTGGTTAATGATGTAATTATTACCGACGGAACTAAAAACATCTGGCAAGTTTACATTGATCAAATGTATGTAAAAACATCGCAAAAATTTGATTGTTTTTACGATCTAAACCCAACGTTGATTCAATCTATATATCTCGACATTGATTCAATGTATATAAATCAACGTTTTTCCAATGTATGTAAAAACATCGCATAAAGTTGATTGTTTTTACGATCTAAACCCAACGTTGATCTAATATATTTATTTCGACGTTGATTCAATGTATATAAATCAACGTTGATTCAATGTATGTGATGTTGATCCAATGTATATGAACTAAACCCAACGTTGATCCAATGTAAGCGACCGAACAATGCTATTGCGAAATTATATAACTTAAATAAAATCTTTCGTGATTATTAAAATATCAAACCACATTCAATACACACTTGATTTTTGTTCCGAAGATCAAGTTTAGACAATTTATTATAATACATATTGGCGGTAAAGAGTAATATATGTAGTTTTGTTTATATAAATATATATAATATATATATATAACTATATTATTGTATATATATACAAAAAAAAAATAGAATTTAATAAAAAATTTAATTCCGAATAATATTTTATACAATGTTTTGCCAATTAAAGTTCAACGTTGAATCAACGTAAATACAACGTTGTGCTAACTTAAAATACAACGTTGGGCCAACGTAGAAAATATAACCATTTTCCGACTTTGAATAAACGTTTTATCAACATTGGTTTTTAGTTGTTGGCGACGTCGCATTTGTAACCATAATGATATAAAAACAACGTTGGCAGCCGATGTTGGGCCAACGAAACGCGCGACATTGTTCTAATGTTTTAACAACGTATGTTTTCTAGTTGGGTAGACGGAATATTTTTTGTAGGCAACTTTTTGTAAATTTTAGTAAATTTTAAAGTCAATAAAAATATTATTTTGTAGTTTTAAAACTAAATTTTTTTATAATTTTTTTGTTTTAAAAATATTTTCCATATTTTAAGAGATAAAATAACATTAATAAGTAATTACACTTTTACTTTAAGACTTTTGACTGGTGTAAAAGGTTATTTTAAAAACATGTCAAATTGTCCGCAAAACTCGCTTTTCATTTAAAAAATGTATTCATTGCCGTAAAAAACGTTATATAAGAGAAAAATGAATCATTTTTAAAATAAAATTTTTATCAAATCAATAACCCTCATATTTTAAAAAATAGATTTAAAAATGTTTAATATAAAAAATTAACTTTTTTTTAGTCCAATTTTGGCCACTTTTTAAGGTTTCTGAGGCACTGTGCGGTGTAGGGATATATTTGCAACTTTTTTAAACTGAATTGTAGCTTCTACATTGTGACAAATAAATTTTTGTACAAACAAAAATACGTATATCTTTTTTTTTAAAACAGTATTTCAAAAAACTTTGTTTAGAATTTAAAAGTTGACATAATACTTAATAAATTATAGTAAATGTTTTTTTATAATATCCCCTTTAGCCTTGATGACCAGCGTCAATCTTCTTTCAAAATCATTGCATGCGGTACGCACAGTTTCCAACGGCATTTTGTCCCAAATTTTGCTAATAACTTTCTTAAATTGCTCCAAAATTGGAAACTTATAATCGTTAAGATTAGCTAACATGTAAGGCCATACAAAATAATCAAGTGGATTGCAGCCTGGTGAGCTTGAAGACCAATCATATTTGGTTGAAAAATCAGTTAAATTTTCCTCGTACCAAATCTGAGTAATGTTAGCCGTATGAGAAGGGGCTTCTTGTTGGAAGCAGTAGTAATCTTCTCCACACAATTTTTTGGTGTTCGGAAGCAAATTTTTCTCCATCATTTCTTCCATATAGTATTTTGCGTTAATTTTTACACCTTTTTCAATGAAAATCAAGGGCAATTTATCTCTTGGACAAAATGCGCTTCAAACCATTACAGAGGCTGCGTTTCGGATTCTTGAAACATGTCTTTTGTCTTCTGGGACGTCCTCAATTAAAACAGACCAGTTTCTGTCATTTTAGGAATTGTGAGATTGTTGCAAAACGAAAGGTTTTTCATCAGAAAGTATAATTTCATCACCTCCGTGCCAGGCCAAAATGTTTTTTGCTCTTTCGACACGTTTACTTTTTGATGGTATGGAAACTCCATGAACATTACGTTTTTTGAAAAACTTTAACTTCAAATCCTTTTTTAAAATAATTCGCACTGTTTCACGGTTCATTCAGAGATCTTTTGCTACTTTCCTGGCAGATCGAATTCGTTCTCTGATCACTTTGTCAGTGGAAGTACCGGTTTCCTTGAAGCGTTCAATGGTACGATAAACCATATTTCTAGTAACTCCGTCACTTTTCAGGGCTCTAAAAATGTTCCCACGAGACTTTCCTTTTTTAAATTTTTCAATAATTATTTCTCTATATACACTTTCATAGCTATAAATATTATTTCTATTAATTTGAATTACAAAATCGATTTGAATTTTACAATTAGATAACATACCGGTACTTTAAAATTTTTTTTTTGATGAACAATAAATTGATAAAATAATGGGAAATCGGTAACACAGGATTGTACCGGAATATATTTGTCACGGTGATTTTCCATACTATTTGTGCAAAATACTTTTTTTAACGTCTTCTTTTTTTGTTATTTTTAAAACTTAGTTTTAGTTAAATGAGAAAACTAAAAACATTTTTTTTTAAATCGTATATTGAAAATGTTGCCAACAAAATACAAACACAAATAAAAAAAATTTTAATACAACCTCTAAAAAAAAAAAAAAAAAAACGTGTTTACTCTTTTACATTTATTTCGTGTACACGTTTTATTTTTTATGTTCTCTTAAAATAAGTGCTTGGAACAGTCTGTTCCAACTGTCAACTCAGCCAGGCTACTACCCTAATCCTAATCCTAAAGCAATTTACTATGCTAATCGTTTAAAGGAGAGTTTTTTACAGAGGAGTAACTTTCAACAAAATACTTTTTTTTTTTTAAAAAAAAAAAAAAAAAGCTTTTTAAGAAACTAGTTCTAGAAGCCCCGAACAACTTTTTTTATTCTTAAGAAATATTTATTTCTATTTTTTTTTTACCTACATATCACTTCAACATAACACGAAGTTAAAAAGCATTATCAACAATGAGCATTTTTTTTTTTTTTTAATTATAACATAACTGTGAAAATAGAATTTAAACTGAAAATAATTTTTTTAAAAAGACTTGAAAATAAACAATAAAAACCCCCTAAAACCCCTGCAATACTTCTAACATCAGAGTAAAGCCGCAGGAACATATTTTTCCGTTAGTTAGAAATGAACGAAAAAAAGTTTTCTCGCCTGACTTCGAACTTAACGGAAAAATATTCAGACGAAAAATCGTCTATTTAAAATAAAAAATATTCAGACGAAAAATCGTCTATCTAAATGAGTATCTAATTTGCAATCTCATTCGATTGCTTGGATGAGGTGGAATTCCATGTTTGCGAATGAAATACTTATATGATATTAACTAACTTAAGAAACTTTTAAAAAACTTTTAGTACTAGATTAGGAAAAAAGTACTCTTAAAATAAGAAAGTTTTAGTACTATCCCATTTGCTTGATTTCCTATTTAAAAAAACGTGTAATCATCCATATCAATAATATAAAATTCAAATATATAATCGTAATGGGACGGCCTATTGGTTAATAAAATATCGTAGTCAAGTCTAATATTTGTTGTTAAAATTATATCTATAGAAATTATTTATTAAAATTATTAATTTTGATTATAAGAACTTTTGTTAAACTATTATATACTTTTGTATCCCATAACTAATAAAAATTTGTTAAGACAGCGACGGCTGAAAATAGACTTTTGTAAAATAGTTTAAGTTTAGACCAAAACAGGAACGAAATTATTTTTAACTTATTTTTCAATATAAAATTAAACACCTTTGTTTTTATAATATTAATTTAAAAAAAAACAACAACAGGTTTTTATAATATTTTGCATATTAATAAATAAATAATTGGGGTTTATATTCTTTAAAACGGAATAATGTAAAATTATATCATTAAGTTCTATTAATATATATGAAAGTATTTTAAAAGTTGATGTCTCTTGTTACGCCTGTATAGGTTTTATAGTAATTTTTTCTGACTTAATTATCTTGTTTTGCCATTCTGTTAAAAATATAAATCATTTAATCACTTTTTTAACCAACTAGTTTTAGTTCTAAAACTCTTTTTTAGCTTTTTGTTGAATATCTATGACATTAAATTTAGAATAAAACCCATGACAAAAATAACATTTTGATTTGTACATTACAATGTAGAGTGCACAATATATATATATATATATATATATATATATATATATATATATATATATATATATATATATATATATATATATATATATATATATATATATATATATATATATATATATTTAGTTTTATATATATATAAGTTTTTTTTATTTATAAATTTATATATATATTTATATATTTTTAGTGTAATTATGAGTACAAAGTTAGACAGTCAATTGTCAGCAAGCTTACAGCGTCTTGAAGCTATTGTTAAACTATTATCAGACAAAAACAATGGTGTGAACATTACAACTGTAAAAACAATGTGGGAAACTATACCAGAAGTTTGCACTGGTTCTGATATTGTAACATGGATTCAGAAACACCTAAAACTTGAATCTAGAGCTGAAGCATTAGGAGTTGGGAAAGGTTTAGCTAAGTATGGATATATTTTTCAAGTAATTGATAGTAAACTCACATTAAAAGATGACTCGGCATACTATAGATTTCAAAGTAGTTATTATTGGCCAACCAAAGAAGTAACTATAACAAATAAAAATTATGCTATTCATTTATGCAAGCGCTTATTTTCCAATAAGAATAGATCAAATCTTGACACATCAGAAATGGACCAACTTTCAAGACTTCAAAATGCAATGGGTCATATTTGGGAAAGCATTTGGATTGATGCTGAAGCAGCATACAAAGTTGACAAAAAAAAGCAAAAACCAGAGAAACTTATAATTGAAAGTCAAGAACGTGCATTTTGGAATCTGCACAAGCCTTCTTCAGATTCTGATTATGTTTTATCTGTTGATCCGCTAAAATTTAAAAAAAAACAAGAAAAAAGAAAACTTCATACTGATGTTGTTTCTAGCAGCCCTATGGTTAGAAGATCTTCATTAGGATCTATGAAAAGTTATGATTCACTTTTATATTTACCCAAATCTGAATCACTTACCGCAATTGATAGTTTAATTTTTTATTGTAACCAGTACCAAATATTTGATCCATTTATGCGTCCAACTGATTCTGCTTCAACATTTCATTCTGATGATCAAATCCAACAAGATAATTTTAAAAAAGTTGGAACTTCTGTGGAGCGTTGGAGTTTAAGCTTAGATGAATTATTACGCGATCCTCAAGGGGTAAAAGTTTTTTTAAAACATTTAGAAAAAGAGCACAGCTCAGAAAATTTACGATTTTGGTTAGCTTGTGAAGAATTTCGTTCATGTCCACTAAAAAAGTTAAAAGAGAAAGCTGAGGCAATATACAATGAATTTTTATCAAGAAAAGCTATTTATCAAGTAAATTTAGATTCGAAGCTGATGCAAACTGTGCGTGAAGGAACTTCAAATTTAAATCATTTTATATTTTTTCCTGCCCAACAAGAAATATTTAGACTAATGAAGTCAGACAGCTATCCAAGGTTTTTAAAATCTGAAAGTTATAATCTGTTGCGACAGGAATCTATTAGCCCAGCTCAGCGAGGCCAAAGAAGAGGCTTACTATCAATGTTAACCAGTCCTCAGCATAAGGTATAAGAACATGCAGACAATATTTTTAAAAATAAATGTATATATATATATATATATATATATATATATATATATATATATATATATATATATATATATATATATATATATATATATATATATATATATATATATATATATATATAAATATAAAATGCTTTTCATTTTTTGATCAATCATTGAGAAAATTTGTTATATTATAAATAATTATTTTTATTTGACATTCTAACTAGTGATATTTTACAACTGCAATTTATAATTTCTGTAGTTTAAGTAAGTTTTATTTTTTAAGAAAATAATATATTAGATATTACATTAGTAGTAATGAATATTATAGAAGTTTAATAAAGTAAATCCATTAATAAAACAGACATATGGGATTGTCCATAAATTACGTCACGCAAATTTTTACTATTTTTGACTACCAAATCCTACCACCCTTTCCCTACCTCTCATCCCGCTTTGTCACAGCATCCTAACTTTTTAGTAATAAGTCCCATACGAGTTGTCACAAAACAACTAACCCTCCCCCCTTCCCCTAGAGTGTGACATTTAATGGGCGTCCCCTAGAGCAAAAAAAATTATTTTTATAGTAACTTGTATATGCAATAACAAATTTTAAATGAAATCTGTATCTTATTAAAATACAGAGCAAAATATATATTTAATATACGCCATTAATTTTAACGTATACTGTAAATTATATCTTGTATAGAAATAATTAAATTATTTTTGTACTAAAGTAATTATATATTAAAAGAATTGTTTTTGGTTTTCCATAAACATTTAATAATATTGCACTGTTTTACGATCTGTTGACAGCTGTCTTGTTCTATAATTGTCTTTTCTGTATATTTTTAGTATTAAATTTAAATATGGGTTTACTTTTTGGGTTTGAATTTATATTTGAAAAAAACTAACGTTTGCAGAGTTGAATAATTAATAAATTGATTTATTTTCGGTTAAAATCTATGTGATAAACTTAGCGTAAACAAATGTTATTTGTTATATTATTACATTATTTATAGTTTTGCTATATAATTTGATTGCATATCTAACTGTTTCTTCACTTGCTATTAATATGAATTTTTTCTGTAACAATTTTTTTATAATTCATAGAGGCGTAGCAAGGAAGGTGAATGTATATATAACATATGTAGCCTCAACTTCCGAGCTACGGAATATATTATAGTCGTTGTAAAAAATTAAAATCAAAATGTGTATTTATTATTTTAAAATGTCAGTCCAAAAAATTTAGAAGTACTTTTGAGTTCTTAAAATAAAAAAAATAAAAAAAGTTTTGTTAAAAAAAAAGATTAAAGACTTCAGTGCTATAAATTTCTTTATTTGTTTCTTTTTTTAATGTCCTATTTCTAAAAGTTGATAAAAACTTATTTCCTATATATTTTAATGTCCTTATTTTAAAAGTTTCCAGCTTCTGAGAATATTATCCTTTTAAGATATTAAGTATTCAGTAAAAATCGTGAAACGGATTTTTCTTTTAAATACTTTTTTCTTAAAATTTAATCTCTAGATTACGCGCTTAATTTGACTAAACAACGTTTTAGTGTGGTGTTTAGTTTGACTAAACAACGTTTTAGTGTGGTGTTTAGTTTGACTAAACAACGTTTTAGTGTGGTGTTTAGTTTGACTAAACAACGTTTAGTCAAACAAGCTTTAAGATCAAGAGGTTCGGTGTGGATATATTTGCGACAAAGACAAGGAAGGCGTCGTTAACTTTTTTGTTAAATGCTCCTCCGCGGTGCCCTGTGGTAAGAACATTTGGTCTTCTTAAATACATTTAATTACAAAATTGATTACAAAAAAAACTTCAAAAATTACATTTTTTTAAAGAAAATTGTTATTGCAGAGTTTAGGATTTATTAATCGGGTAAATAATTTGTAATTAATATTTATTTACACATTTTGTTGCCGTAAACAGTTCGCGACGTTAGAATTATCTTGTTCTATCTCCACTTTTTTTAGTTTTGAGATAAAACGATTTAAAAAATAAAAACTTTAGGAGACGGCGTATAAATTTTTTTTTATAACTTATGTTTTTTCCGCAACTTTTTTACTTATAAAAAATGGTTTAAAAAAATGGTTTAAAGAATGTATGATACAACATTACATTTTCCCAATTATAAACAAACCCACCCGGGTAACTCCCACCTCAATTACAGCTATTGACAATATATTGACAAATTCAATTCAAGATCCATCCTTAAAAGTAGGAATAATTAAAACGGATATATCTGACCACTTCCCAATTTACTTCTCACTATCACAACAAGCAACACGTGTCAATAACTTGAAAATAAAAATCATCAAAAGAAGCATAAATAAATTCTCGACCCAAAAACTAAAAGACTCACTAGCGGTAGTAAATTGGTCAAAAATATATCATGAATGTAACCTCGGACACACAAATTCCGCTTACAATAATTTTATAAATATTTTCCTAAATCTCTACAATAAACATTTTCCAAAGGTCGAAAAAGAAATTAAAGCAAAATACCTAACCACTCCATGGATTACCCAAGGAATAAGAAAATCGTCAAAACAAAAACAAAAACTCTACATAAAATATCTAAAAAATAGAAACCATTTTAATTTGTCTAAGTATAAACAATATAAAAATCTATTTGAAAAAATGAAATTAAAATCCAAAAAACTATATTTTTCAAAGCAAATACAAAAATTTAAAGGAGATAATAAAAAAATTTGGGATATTATAAAAGAAATAATTGGTAAAGATAAAAAAAACTCGAACCAACTACCTCCAAAAGTTCTCATAAGTGAAAAAGAGTTTAATAATAAAAAAATTATCTCTACAGGTTCCAAACTCGCCTCTAAAATTCAACCTACAAACAATTCATTTGAGAATTACATCGAGGACTCTCGTTGCTCCCTAGTTTTTAAAGAACTAGAATACGAAGAACTTAAAACAGCAATTAAAACATTAAAAATTAACAAAGGTCCAGGTATCGACAATATCCCAGCCAATATTATTTTGAATGTCTTCCCAGAAATAAGTAAACCCATTTTTCAAATATTTAACTCTTCAATAATTACAGGAATTGTACCCGACTATTTAAAAATAGCTAAAATTATTCCTATCTATAAATCCGGAGATACATCTTTCTTAAATAATTACAGACCAATATCAATCCTTCCCGTATTTTCAAAACTGCTCGAACGAATAATCTACAATCGTTTATATAAATACCTAACCACAAACAAAATCCTGAATGAAAACCAATATGGTTTTCAAACTCAGCACTCGACAGAGCATGCTATCGTAGACCTCGTCAATAGAATTAGTGAATCAATCTATGAAAAGAAGTTCGTATTAGGAGTCTTTGTAGACTTGTCAAAAGCGTTCGACACAATAAATCATGAAATCCTACTAAAAAAGTTGGAAAAATACGGATTAAAAAACCATACACTGCAGTGGTTTAAAAGTTACCTGTATAACAGACAACAATGTGTTATTACAGATGATAATTACCACAGTAAATTATTAAAATTAACTTGTGGTGTTCCTCAAGGTTCGATTCTTGCTCCTCTTTTGTTCCTAATCTATATAAACGACCTTCCAAAAGTTTCTAGCAAACTTGAATTTATAATGTTTGCAGACGATACAAATTTATTTTACTCTTCGACAAACATCAAGGATCTGTATGATAATGTAAACATAGAACTCCAAAAATTAAATATATGGTTTTAAAACAAATAAGTTATCGCTAAACATAGAAAAAACAAAATACACTTTATTTCACTCAAACCAACAAAGAAACACACTACCAAATATTCTACCCTCTCTAAAAATAGAAAATATCGTAATTGAGAGAACTCACGAAACTAAATTTTTAGGAGTTATAATTGATGAAAATTTATCTTGGAAAAGTCACATAAATGCTTTAAACACTAAAATATCAAAAAACATAGGTCTACTTTATAAAGCAAAACCTATGCTGTCGCAAAGTAATTTAAAACTTATATATTTCTCTTTTATACACAGCTACCTCATATATGCGAACATAGCTTGGGCGAGTACGCATATAACCAAATTGAAAACTTTATATTGACGTCAGAAACATGCTGTTAGACTTATCTACCATAAAGACAAATTTACACACACTGAACCCTTATTTAAAGAAATGAATGTGCTTAATATTTATCAAATTAATATTTACCAAAATATATTGTTTATGCTAAAATTTAAATTAGGTCAAGTACCAAACCATTTTTTAAATAACTTTTTTATAAATAACGTTAATAAATATAACACAAGAGAAAAAGGAAATTTTGATACACCTTTCAAAAAAACAAAACTTTCCCAGTTCTCAATTTCATATCGGGGTCCTTATTTATACAACAAACTAGTAACTAAAAATAAATCAATCTGCAATCTAGATTCAATTTGCAATCAAAATTTCTTGAAAAAAAAGTTAAAAAATCTGATACTGAATCTAAACAGATTTCAGAATTCTTTTAAGATTTCAGATTTCAGAACTCAGAATTCTTTTAAGACTATAAATTAAAATACATATATATCAACTACAAAGTGAACTGACTCGTTTATGTGTATTATCTAAATGAATCTTTTTTTTTTTTTTCTCAAATTTCTCAAACAATATATCAAAATGTGTTTATTACACACAAAAAAAACACTTGATTTTTTCTTATCAAGTTTAGTTATTATGCTGCTAGTTATGTCTAATATTTTATACTGAGCTTATTTTGAGTTTATTTTTTATTATGAGCTAAATTTAAAGAATATATAAACATAGTTGTACTTAATATATAATTATATTTAACATAATCATAATAATATATCAAACACATTGTAAGGGCTTCGTGATAAGATCATTACGATCTTCTTGAAGTCCGGCCTGTACTATTTAATTATAAATTTCACTATATATATTTTGACTCACGAGACTTGTAAATATTAATTTACGAAACTTGTAAATGTTATATGTACGGCAAATATATGAATAAAAAAAAAAAAAAAAAAAAACTGGAGCAAGTAGAAGACAATAGTCTTATTATCTTGCCCCATTTTTGTTGTTGACAAAATATAACAAAATATTTATAATACATATAATTTTTTTTTTTTTTTTTCACAATGAACATCATTAAATAACCAAGCAAGTAATATAGTAAAATTTAAAGAAAAAGTGAAGATTTAAATTAAAAAAGGAAAAGTTTTTAAATTTAGAAAAAATTTTCAAAATAAGAGATTGTTTCATTAATGTTGAGGTCTAGTAGCTGTTGCTTTACAACGCATTTAAAATTTTGGAATGAGTTAATCGTTTTTATTTTGTTTGTTAGAAATGAGTTCCACAATTAGGGTCTTCTGCTAAATATTGAGAATTTAGATTGTCTTAAAGAGGTTTTTGGAATAAAGTAGTTCTTGATAGAGTATTTTGTTTGATATTTGTGATTAATAAAGCGAAAATAGTTATGGAAGACTTCAGGGACCAGATCATTTTTGAGTTTAAACATAAACTTAAGAATGCAATATATATTTTGTTCGTAGATATTAAGAATTCTCAGTTTCCTCATTAAATGTTTAGAATTGGCATTTCTACTTGCGTTTGTTAATATACGGCACGCTTATTTTTGTTTTTTATATATTATATCTAGTTTTGATTGATAGGTACTAGCCCAGGCAATATTGCAGTAGTTAAATTATCTATACAATATTTATATCTATACAATATTAACTACAATAAAAAAGTATGCATCTTTAACAAAAAATATACTTACTAAATCAAAGCAATTTCTATTGCTGGAAAAAAAAAACAATCAAAGTTATATTGTACTTTGAAATATGACTTCAAGAAGCCCAACGCATCTAAAGTTTCATAACCAAATTTTTGTACTGAACAGTCTCGCGAAAGAAAATACACGCTCAGCTTCGTCAATTATTTGTTTCTCGGTCATTAGAAATAAATAAGTTTTTTCTGAATAATCACCACGTATACCGCCATTTTCAAAAAATGTCATTTCTTTTTATACTTTTGATAACAATGTCTCATATCTAACTGATTGCATCGTTGAAGTTCTTCTTTACTAACACAATCAAGCTACTCTTTAATACTCAAAGGATTACTTACTTTGTACTACATAATGAATTATTATAATATAAATACAACCCGTATTATATAATGGTGTGGTGAATGGTATATATGTGTGTAGTGTATGA